CCGCCCTCAGGAGGCGGCGCCGCATCTCGCTGACGCCGCCCCCCTACCCATCCCTGACTCAGTCCTGGGGGCAGGTCATTGCGGGCGCTGGACGGCGACCCGCTCTCCGCCCCCTCAAAGCCCGTCTGAGAGGGTCTACTCTTTCGCAGACCCTCTCCGTGGCTTCCTTCTGCGTCATCACCGTTTCGCAGAAGGTCACGGCATCCCACGACCGCCGGCAGGGAAAGGTCCCATCCTATTTCCTGTTGGAGGACATGGCGCTCCCTGGAGAATGCTGGGCACTCTTCCAGGGTGTGCTGCGCTGTGTCCTCCCCTCTGTCGCAGTGATGGCACCGCGCCGTCGCCTCCCGCCCGATCCGGCACAGAAAGTCACCGAAGTAACCATGCCCGGTAACAATCTACGCCAGACGGTAGATTAACCTGCCCCACGTCCTGCCGTGCCACCTGTCAAACACCTGCAGGATCGCCGCTACGGCGCGCTTTCGGGCAGAGGCCGGCTCCAAAAGCCGGCCTCGCCACTCCTCGAGCGCGTGACGCCTCAGGGCCACCCTTTTAGCCGCCAGCTGAGGCGGTATCATGCCCCTCCGACGGAGCTCCTGGAAACGCCCGTACACTTGGGCGTCTCCCTCCGCCTAGAGGTCGAGCGGCACTAGCCCCTCCAAGGCCGCCGCCGTCGTCGTCGCCGCGTGGGACGTTGTGCGGTAACCGCGCGCGACCCGACCTCCTCTCGATGCGATGGAGCATATCCTTGCTCCGTCGGTCGGCGACCAGGTCGCGCACCCACACCGGCGATCTGTAGAGGATCATACTCCGCACGACGCCCACATAAAGGCGGCGGATCCTCTTCTCTGGCCCCCCGAGATTGGGCAGCAGCCGGCCCAAGGCCGCCGCCACCCTGTCCTCTCGGGGGACTAAGCGACCGAAGTGCACCCCGAAATGCCAGCGGGAGTCGAGGACGAGTCCGAGGTACTTCAACTCGGACCCAACCCCAACGCAGGAGTCACCCACCCGCATCCAGGACCGGGGAGGCCCTTTCTGCCGAGGCCTGTAAAACCAA